GTGGTTGCCATGCAGGAGGCTGACACGCCTTACATGCGGCGGGCTGCTGCAGCCACGGGCGGGACTTGTTGGTTCTTCACTGCGGGTCAAGGCTTGCCGGGATGTCATCTTCGCACGCAGTGCCTCTGCGGAGCTATGGCTCCCTCCCGACCTCATCTTACTTGGTCTTGCGAGAGCACTGCCTGCACACCCTTCCGGTGAATCGCGCGGAAGAGCGCCTTTTCGCGCGGCACTCTCCTTTGCAGCCTAAGGCGCCGGATGCGATGGACCTCAGAAGCTTTCAAAGCTCGCTGGATGCTGCGGTCAGTGAGGCTCTTCATGCCCAGGCTGCTCATAACCGCGGATGGGTCTACATTGCCACGGATGGGTCCAGCAGAACTTCGGTCGGCGCCTTTGCTGTCGTTGTGGGCTCCCCTTCATGTGCCTTTTCTATGGGCACAGCCGCTGAGGATCAGTCACCTTACAGGCAGGAGGTCATGGGCCTTTTTGAAGCGTTTGCCTCAATCTGCCGGGTTTGGCAGCCAGGGTGTGTGCCGCGCATCTTTCTTTTGACTGATTGCAAGGCTGCTCAAGCTGCCATTGGAGGCAACGGTTGCAGTCCTTTCTCTTTAGGCCTCTTGCTTCAGGCTGTGCGCGACCTGAGAAAGGATTTGGTGGACCGTGGCTGCGATGTTTCCTTGCTTTGGGTACCTTCCCATGGCAAGCACCAGCGATGGCGCCCCGCCGCTGAGCACGACCCTGAGGAGCTCCGCGCTCTTAACCATGCTGCTGATGTGGCGGCCGGCGAGTGCATGCAAACCAGACTTTCTGGATCCCTCCGGGAAGGCTGGCATGCACAGTGCGCTGCAACCCTCGAGTGGGAACTCAAGACCATTCGACTGGCTGCTGCGTGTGCAGAACAGCTGCATCAGCATGTGCGAAACGTCCCTGTGGACGATGCCGAGCTCCCCTCTTAGACCCCCTTGGGTTTAGGCCCTCCTTTCCCCCCTAGGGGTTCCCGTCTGCACGGACTTGCGTCGACTTGTTCTGTGGAGGATGCCGCGTTTGGCAGCCAGCACTTTTGGTTCTTCTGGCTCACTTGCTGCTGCCCCCCTTCTTTAGGCCCTTTGGGTTTAGGCCC